TGTGAATAAATGATTAAAGAATGATTTACCAAGATTAAACATATTAAATGCTATGCAATGTTTGATTCATTGTCTACTTAATCCCAAGTATGGTTGTATTCTAAACATTCATGCATCATATTATTATTATATTATTATATTATTATATTATTATTATATTATTATTATATTATTACTGATTATTACTGCGGAACACAAATGATCTTGACTATTAAAGATTAGTTGTGAACTTGCGGAGATCAATAAACATTTCCCCGATCGTTCCTCCTTTGTCCTCCCTAAATACCGGTTTAAACATGTTTTTTTTATTGAGTTCACGCGTAAAAGGCTTGTGATTTCCCATTCTAGGATAAAAAAAAAAAAATTTTTTTTATTTTCCTTTTTTTTTATTGTTCATTTAAATGAATGAATATGAATTTAATTGATCGATAATTAGAACAAATTTTTATCTGAAAACAAGAAGAAATATCAAAAAATATCAAATCTTGAAGCAAATCCAAATCTTAAAAAAAATCTTTAGATTTTCTTAACAATGGGAATTGGAAATGATTGATAATTTTTTTTTTATGCGGTGGCTTACCTTCAAAATAAAAAAAAAAAAAAATTTTTTTTTTATTTATTTATTATTTTATTTACTTACTGTGCAAATTTTCTATATTTAACCTAAATCAAGTAAATTCACGAAAATTCACAAAGGTTTATTTATCACTTAAGATTTTATTTAGAAATTGTTCACGTAGTGATACAACCATGACTTTATTTTCCAGTTTATGCGTAATCTTGATAAGAAATATTATGATTTTTTCATGTTTTAAATGTTTTTTAAATTTGTTAAATGTTTTTAAATGTTTTTAAAAAATATTTATTTATTTTTTTAAAAAGAATGATCTATAAAAAAGATTTCCTTTTTAGGAAAACTCTTCAAAAAAAAAAAAAATGTCAAGATCTGGTTTAGATCTTGAATACCTTAAAAATTTTTTTAAACTTTTGATGAACCAGTAAAATTTAAATGTTTTATATTTCCTTTTAATAACGGTATTAAATAACAAGTTATTTCAAGCTATTTTAAATTATTTTTATTTAAACTAATAACGTATTTTTATTAATAATATTCTTAAACTTTTTTTTTTACAAACAAACATTGATAAAATTATTAAAAAGTGATGTTTTATAACCATAAGAAGTAAAAGCTCGTGTTTTATTCAATACTGAAAAATTTCTCGTGTTAAATAACCGAATTTTAACAAAAAAATATTTAAGAGTCGAAAAGTCGAAATTTAATTGGTTACTAATGATTTAATATCAAAATGATTGGTTCAAAATATTTTTGGTAAAAATTGGAATATGATTTCGAAAATTCGATAATACCATAATAGGTTAAGACTTGATTATTTGTTTGTTTGTTATAATGAATGTCAAGTAAATTATCGGTTGATTTTAGTATTCTTATTGTAGATTGGGTTGAACTTTATTTGGATTTTTGGATTTAATAATAATATATAATAATAAATATATAATAATAAAATATAACAAAATATATTAACGAAAAAATTGAAAATATTAAAATATTGTAAAAATTTTTGTAAGTTGAAATATTTTTATAAATAAATTAATTAATATTTTTAAAATATGGTTTAAATATGATTAGGTTTAAATATGGTTACAAATTTTATGATTTTAGATTGATTAAAATTTTTTTAAGAGTAAACATTAAAGTAAAATAAATAACATCCGATAAGAAAATAAATATTATTTTTTAAATAGTAAACAATTTTGTTTTTAAATTATTTTGTTATTATATTATTTTTTTTTTTTTAAAAAAAAAAAAAACAATTATTTTTTAAAAATAAATATTTTTTTTTAAATACATTACATTACTTTAAAAAAAAAACAAACAAATAAAAGAAAAAATTTTTCAAAAACATCTCATGGAAAATTACCAAAAATTGAAAAAAAAGTAATGGATCCCGAATCTGTAATTTCTTTTTGCATACATTTAATTGGTACTTATATGTAAAAATGTAAATATAAAAAAAATGTAAACTACAAACTAAAAATGGTAAAAGAATGTAAACTACACGAACTGTAAATGGTAAAAAAATGTAAGCTTACAAACTGTAAATGGTAAAAAATGTAAGCTTACAAACTGTAAATGGTAAAAATGTAAAACTACAAACTGCAAATGGTAAAAAATGTAAACTACAATAAATGTAAACCTGTAAAACCGTAAATATGCCAGGCAATGCACCTTAAAAAAAAAAAAAAATAATTTTTTTTCTTGATTTCTTGCGACATTTGATATTATTTGATGTTAGTTGATGTTATTTGATGTTATTTGATGTTATTTAATGTTATTGATGCGATTATATTTATTAGGTTTTTAAATCGCCTAATTCGGTATAGACTGGTAATAGCAAAAAATTGAAAAAACTTGAAAAATTGATAATTATTTGAAACACTTTATACAATAATTAATAAATTGTTTCATATTTAAAGTAATTTATGCGATCTTATTCATGTTATGACGAAAATGCGCGAAAAAAACAAATCTTAAACATTAAGATAATTAACGTTTTAATTTAATGTATATTATTATTTACCTGTTACCTGTTACCAGTTACCGAGTTATTAGAGTTATTTGTAACAGGTTGTCACAGGTTGTCTGTTTCGGGTTATCTGTTTCGAGTTTAGTTTTAAAAAATAAAAATTTTCTCACACAAGCCTCATAAAAATATCCACATGCTTAGATTTTTTTTTTTTTACTTTAAAAAGAAAAACGGATTAAACTTATTTAGAATATTATGCGGTATTTAACATATTAAACCATATTACATATGGAAATTTTAGGAAATTTCGCGCGTTTTTGTAAATTTGTTTATTATGCCTAATACCTATTTGTGATTCTAATATTCTGTTTGTATCTATTTGTGATTATAATAATATATATTCATCATAATTCATCATATTAGATTTCCTAATATAGTACAGCTATATTAGGATATATCCATAATTGGTTAATTTAAAAAAGATCATAAAAGATTATAATAGATTATAATAGATTATTATAGTTATAATAGGCTAATTAATGGTGATAATATGATGATTATATGATGATTATAAATTTATCATATTTATAAAATTCATTAAATTATTATATTGATTACAAATTCGTCAAACCATGTGTGGTAACATATTGAAAAAAACCGCAAAAAAAAAAAATCCATTATTCCGTTACAAGTTATTATGCAAATAGACTATCATCATAAGTTAGAAGATTGATTTGTGTAATTCTTTTAAAGTTTACAAACTGCAACTGGACAAATTATATTTGGTCTAGTATTATTGAAATATTATTAATTTATGTTGTATTACATCAATAAAACGTAATATTAATAATAAAAAATATGCAAATAAAAGATTTTTTATCTCCTGTCAAAAAAAGTTTTTTATTATAAAATGAATTTTTTTAGTTTAGATAAAAAATATCAAAAAGCGTGCTAAAAAAAAATCAATGTTTATTATTTTGATCTTTTTTTTCATGTACGTTATGTACGTTAAAATGTATGTTTCAATTCGTGAAAATTTCGAAATTTTTTTTTTTTTTTCGGATAATATTATTGATGGCTCCGATTATATAATAATTTTGCACATGTCATGAAAAAAATATATCTTTGATTTTTCGTTGTTTACAATATTTACAATAATTCCAAAAACAAAAATTCATTTTTTTTTTTATAGTAAATATCAAATGATATTGTTTTCATTATAATTTATTTTCATATTTTGAATTTCCTAATCTAATTTATGATGCACATTTTTAAATTTAAAATTATTTATTTTTATTTTTAGGTTAATAACAATTTCGAAGTTTTATGCACACAGCACATATGATCACATAGACCATTATTAGAACCGTTTGTAAAAATAAATTATTATTTTAAAAAACCAGTTTTTTTTTATTGTAAATAACTTTTTAAAAGTTAAAGTTACAACCTTTTTTTTTTTTTTTCTTTTCTTTTTTAAATGGTTACAGAATGTTTGGAATGAAATTTAAAATTCAGCAATTGTTTTGATTCTTTACAATAAATAAAATTTCGGTTTCAATTTGTTTCAAACTATATATAAAAATTTTTTTTAATATTACATATATTTACATGAAAAAAAAATAAA